CTACCCGCCTTGCTCAGGAACTGGCCGGAGTACAAGGTTCTTCTGACGAGCTTGGGAAGGTTGTGGCCGACCTGAGGGCTCAGCTAGAGGTTGTGGAGGTTGCCCGAGCAACGACAGAGAAGGAGGTGGAGGCCGCGACGCAGAAGCTGGAGGAGGCCACAGTTGCTCATGCAGTGGTGGAGGGAGCATGGCGGATCAAGGAGGATGAGCTGAAGAAGAAGAAGATCCAGGAGGTCGGGGGCAAGGCTATTCAGGCTTATGTTGGCGGGGACATATTCAGTGCTGACGTGGAACAGGTAATTTCCGAACGCCGGGCTGATATCGCCCTAGAATGGCTATCGACCCCTGATGGAGAGGATAAGTTGGCAGAGGAAGGGGCCCTATGCTTCCAACTGGGTAAGTTCGATATGCAGAAGTCCATTTATGAGGCTATGCTTAATCGAGACCCCTTCCTTTCTGCCGAGGCGTGGGGGTTCCCGGAAGTTATGGCAAACCCAGAGATCCCCTCAGGCGGCCTTGATCCTGATGTCCTGGTCCTTCCTGCTCCTGATGCTTGAAAGTATTTAAACAAACACTCTTATAAACATCTTTCCAAACCTGCGTGCTTGTTGTTTTCCACCCTTGGGGTGGCGTGTAATCTTCAAACACCTTTAGATTCTTGCTTTTACTTCTGTGCGTACATATACATAACTTCTTTTCAATCGCCTGTGATGGTTTTTTGATTTAATTTGATCTGTCTGATGCTCTTAATGATGTTTGAGGTCTTAAGATTTTCAAGGCAATCATCAAAAGAAATCCCGTAAACCGAGAAGTCATCCATAAAAACGTCCATAATTTCCTTGACAAGATCCGAGAAAATAGCTAGCATGCATCTTTGAAAGGTTTCAGGTGCATTACATAATCTAAATGGCATTCTGTGATATGCAAAATTACCATAAGGACATTTAAATGTTGTCATTTCTTGATCATCCGGATGAATTGGGATTTGGAAGAATCCAGAGAATTCATCAAGAAAACAGAAATATTTGTGCTTAGCCATCCTCTCGAGCAATTGATCAATGAAAGGAAGTGGAAAATCTTTTCGAGTTGCTTTGTTGAGCTTGCGGTAATCAATGCACATCCGCCATCTAGTCACTATTCGTGTAGGAATCAGCTCATTTTTGTCATTCTTTACAACAGTAGTTCCTCCTTTCTTTGGTACCACATGGATAGGACTTACCCAATTACTGTCCGAAATGGAAAAAATGATACTCGGACTCAACAGTTTAAGAATTTCATTTTTAACAACATCTTTGATGTTCGGGTTGAGGCGTCTTTGGTGCTCAATGCTCGACTTGTGATCATCCTCCAAGTAAATACGGTGCATGCAGTAAGATGCTTTTATGCCAACAATATCATCAATGGTGTATCCAATAACTCCTCGATGCCTTCGTAAGACTTCACTAGTGTAAAAAGGGCTTTTTACATCACATTATCGACATGTGTTATCTTATAATTCATGTGAAATACTGACATGAGGTCATTTTTATAAATTTTATAAACTTTTTCACATGATTTATTAATATAGTTGATGTTAAATAGTGAAATGGGGTATATTTTATAATTTTAATAAATATTTTACATCGGTCCTCTGTGCAGCCGATGTAAAACAAAAAATGGGGTCATTTTTTTAATTAATAGAAGTTTTGTTAACATCGGTTAACGCCGATTTAGAAAAGTAGCGAAAAATGAAAATCTAACATTATTCCAGGTCGGTTCTAACTGATCTGGATGACTTTAAACCTTATGTTGATACGCATCGTCTCCGTGTTTGAGAAAATTTCAAACCTAGCCAAACTAAATTAGCAGAGCAGCGAGCAATGACCAGGGACGGGCAACAACCAGCAATCTGTGGCCATGGATGGACAACGACCATCGTCCAAAGACCAGGGATGGACAATGACGAGAGACCAGCGTCGGACCCGGCAACCGCAGACACAACAGGCGACCACAGACGGCCCCGAAGAGCGCAGACGAACCCAGTGACCAGCTCCCAGAGACGGACCAGCAATCAGGGTTGGATCGCCTACTAGTCGCGACTATTGCGTAAAGTTACTGTGGCACTGGCGCAAACTGCATGTCAGACGTCATCGGTGGAGTCCTCCAGTGGGGTCGCCAAGGATTTACGGCCAGCAGTTTGGGCTAGCCAATTAATATCCAGTAAGTTTACTGAGAACTTCAGCAGAATTAATCTTCTTTATCAAATAAAGAGTTGCCTTAAATTTTTAACATCCCAACCATTACACTTAAAAAAAATCAAATATCTGCAACCCAGTGTACTCATTTACAGATCCCAAACAAGTCTGTCTTAGTAGCAGTTACTTGAGAGACTAACTCTACACTAATTTGGTTTGGTAATGACAATATTGAATTAGAAACTGTTTTGCTCTATCTATGCCCTGATCTGTCTCGTCCATCATTTGATTCTCCTGATCTATTAGCTATTGTTTAGTCAAAGTTGCATTATTAAGCTTGTGTAGTTACATATTTGTATATAGAAAGAGAGGTTAGTTAATTTTAACAGGCCATTAAACTTCAATAATTCTTACAGTACATTTGAAGAGAATAAGTCAGCAAACAAAACCTAAAGTGACTTGTTGATGCTTCAGTTCTTAGAGTACATTTGACTTTCATTTTTTTCGTTCCTTCAATCTGCCAATTTGCAAAAGCATAAGTAATTAGGTTGATCCTTAAAGTATAGTGCATTGTTATCCCATCTTGTTTCATTTCATATCTCATTTTGTTTCATTTCTGTTTTGTTTCATTTCATATCTCATTTTGAGATAAGGATTCTTCCATTTGACAGAGCCATTTTTGTGTCCTGCTTATAGTTTCTATATTTCATTTGAAAGTGTTGAAAGTGAAGGTTTGTGGTTCTCTTTGTGAGTTGTGAATTTTCTAATTGATTAACCTATTAAGTGAAGGTCTTGATTTTATATGTTCATGTGAAGGTCTGTGTATCTCCTACGACGATATATATATGTTTTCTAGAGTTTTACAGGATTTTATGTTGCAAAAAATATATTTTCAAAGTTTACCCAACTTTTAACATGAGATAGTGTTCAAAATGGTTTAAATTTTGCAAATTACAGATGGTAATTTTTAGTGCAGGTAGTCCTAATTGTATTCCCCTCACATTTTATTTAATAACTCTTTCAATGACAACTTAAGTGCAGATTTGGGATTCCCAACTCTTTCTTAGCTTGAGTTAACCATTCCTCAGTCTGAACAGAATCAAATATTGTATAAAGGTGCATCCAAATATTTTTTCTCTTTAATTAGCTTTTAACTCCAAAACCTGAATATACTTACCCCGCCCCTACCTCCACCCCAGTGATATTGAGATTTTAGTTTATTTTGATTCATACGAGTGGTATAGTCATGTTCTCTCGTTTTTCCCCTACAGTTCCTAGGTCCTTAAATACAAAAAATAGCATTTTGGGATATTCTGTGCTTTCTTTTTATCTTTATTCCTTCTTTTCCTTTTGGTTGTGATATCATGTATCGATTCATGTTAGCCGACCCTAATATCTTTTGGGACTAAGGCTTGGATGTTGTTGTTGTTGTATGTTGTTGGGATATTCTGTGCTTTCTCCTTAATGTTAATGGTATGTCTATCTTCTTTTTGAATTGCAAAAAAAAAAACTGATGTGCAAGTCTTTGTGATTTATCTGAACACTAATCTTTACATGTGATAGCAAATGATGTTGATGTGCAAAGGTGCAACCTTCTTATCCACTAAACAAAGAGAAATTGCATTGCCAATTTGCATGGTTTTAACCCACTTATGCCGACCATCTGACTTATATGTTGGAATGTCAAATATGTTTCACTTATTCAACATGGAATGTTCCTACTCTTATTAGTATTTCCCAAAGAGGAAGAATCTGCCTTAAAAAGTAAAAAGTTAATCTGTATATTGTTCACAGGCTCACAGTTTAACAATTCTATTCTTTAATTCCCTTTTGATGAACATATTCTTCCTTGTAAACTTAAAGGTAAAAGCTAGGTGAGCAGACTGTTTGCCTATTATGTATATTGAATGTAATTTTCATAACTTTCCATTCTCTCGTAAGCCTTACTTAAACTTATTGCTATTTATCCATGTATTCTAGGTATTTCTTTGCTTAAAGTTGGTGGACAGATGGTTTATTCAACTTGCTCGATGAATCCTATTGAGAATGAAGTTGTGGTTTTTTAGGTATTGTTTGGTTCTCCGAGCTCCAATTAGAATGTTTCCATTCTTTAATTCCTCAAAAGGTCATTTGAGGGTTAATTTCATTGGATTTATATGAGAAATCACATGGTGATGCTAAAGAAGGTATTTGTGTTGCTTTTACCTTTCTTAGCATTCACAGTAAAACACATATGTTTAGTAACAGCCAAATTCAATAAATTCATTTAGGATATTCTGGATCTAGGGAAACAAATGCCGAGGAAGGTCTCATTCTTATGTTTGGCACTTTTAAAAATTATCAAATATTTGTAGTTGTCTTAGTTTTTAACTTTTATATACTCCGTAATACACACTAGTGTAGAAAACACTTTCTATATGGGTTAAAAAACACTTTTTATGTCGGTTCCCGTAACGACATAGAAGCCAGCGACATAGAAAGACGGGTACTTTTCGTGTCGGGTAGTCGTACCCGTTATAGAATGTGTTTTATAACGGTTACAATATTAACCGTTATCGAATGTTTTCCGTGTCAGACCAGTAATACCCCATATAAAATCCTTTTTATATGGGTTAAACGAATATCAAATTTAACCGTTATCGAATGTTTTCCGTGTCAGTCCAATAATACCCCATATAAAATCTTTTTTATATGGGTTAAAGCATATACATACCCCATATATCCAATAGATCCAATATTATCCAATATACACGGTATCAATATAATGAAATCAGCCCTGCATACTATAATTTTTTATATATATACAGTATCAATATAATGAAATCATTAAATGAGAATTATGGCAAATATATTGATATTGTAGCAAAATACAGTGTTCCATCTAGTACTAACACCAATCAATCCAAGCCAAAACTGCAAAGTTTCACAAGTTCACGTAGGCAAAAACTACAAAAGTTTCAAAGGTTCTTGCAAGTCAAAAGAACAAAGTTTCACATGAAACCAACACTATTCATTCTAGACATCAAAACAGAACCATATTTGTTAATAGAAACCCGTACTGCTTGTGGTGTCGCAAACAAATGACGCCCAATGCTCTCTTGTCTCGGTAATGTCTTGTGGACTAAATGACTCTTGAACATTGAATGTCTGCAAATCAAAAATAAAAATAGAAACACATTCAATAAAATATGAATATGAAAAATAGAAGTAAAACTTTGTCGTAAAAAATATAATACAAGCGTAATAAGTATAAATTTGATGAAGCACAAATCTAAAATTTCATCACCTCAATCCATGAATCAACAACGACTGCAGATATTATAGTCTCCATATGCCTCATAACATAATACCCAGACTCATAGCTACCCCTTTGCATTCTAGACTGCAAATAGATGTACATGTAAATATTATATTGTAGCATAAAAACAAAGTCACTTAATTTAATGTAATCACACAATTTTTCCCAAATCTAGTCAATATAAATAACAATATACAATGAAATACCTATCTCCATGCTCATTATATTTTCCTGCTAAAAATCTGCCATTAACATCCATATATAAAATGAAATAGTCCACTCCATACTCAAAATTGATTCTTAATATGATTCATAATCTACACATGACATGATGATTATAATGTGCTTCTCAAAATGATTCAGAATCAACCCAAGTGCATAAAATTATAAAAACTTATATAACAGGTAGGCTGGTAGGGTCCTTTTATCAACAGTCCTATGTTGTAGAAATATAACATGTTTTGTTAAAATCCGCTTCTGCAATACACTGTAGCAGATAGAAGTTGAACATCAAATGTGAAAATCATGCTAAGTTTGAGAATGTCGGCATAAAACTAAGTTAGTTTTTATTTAAGAGAAATGATCTGTGTACATGTGAACCTTTTGTAAAGTCATTATATCATATAGGCGTGTCATGTCTTCAGAATTATGTTAAGGACGAAATGCAAACAATGGTCAGTCATTTATGTGCACAAAGAGATGTCTCCAAACAAATAACACATAAGTATGAAAAAAGTATGCTTACAATCGGCTTAATCCATCTTGGTTTGGAATTCCTCCTATTTTTTGTTATTTGATGTGCTTGCATTGCCCTAGATAAAAAACAAGAAATAAGTCATGCTATAGAAACAAGAATTGGCTTAATCAAAAGTACACATTTGATATAACAAAATTATATCCTTACATATCAAAAACACTCTTCACATTTGTCTTTGGCTTATTCCCCAAGGAGCACAAGAACACAATAAGGTTTTGCTTAGGACACAATACGAATAGCTGCCAATGGTTACTGAAATTGAAACAATTTGTGATGATTATTTAGATATTACTTAAGTTTAATCATAAGTTTGTACTTACGGATAGTAATATGGAACTAGATAGCAGTCCTTGTTGTCCTTGATGTGAGTTAATATGTAGGTTTGGGTTTCATCACGCTTGTTTCCCACATCTTGAATGGTGTGAGGGTCAAAGAATCCATACAAGTGTTTGTTGTTCTTTTTAGTACACAATTTGTGCAAGTACCTGCATGTAATTTAAGAATAACATGGAGTTTGAAAAGTGATGACCCCAGAAGATTACATAGAATCAGGGAACTGCAGGGATCTACTTTCTATCTACTTTCTGTAGACACATTTTGATCATTCTCTTGAAGTTTGAGTGATTAGTTTTTCCTTTCTATTCCAACAATAGGGTATAAATAAAAGCAGATCCTGACATTCAGAACATAATAAATCTCAACTCACATTATCCAGACTCGCATAACCTTTGTACTGAGCATTTGATTACCCGAACACATCTCCATTATCTCCTCTGAACTAAGAAAAAGGGAGATATCAGCAACACCAATGACATCTCCTTTTAAAACTAATTCCAGAGGCTGTCCATCAAGGTGTTTTGTCATTTCCAGTAAGCGGGCTATTGGATCCTTGTGCTCATTGGGAACATCCACTTGGTCATTGTCATCATCCTACACAACAAGAAGAGTGAAAAATAGTGAAACTCTAGTGACAATTGCACCAGTATTGCAGTCTCGAAAGGAAAATTGAAGGGAACATTTCTCAGATGGCAGTTTTTTATATGTTGTTGTGATCCGACCCGGCATCTTACCTTGCATAATAAGGATTTCAGGTAAAGAAGAGTGAAAAATAGTGTCATTTTATCACCTTTTGGTATGCTCGTTTATCCTTATTGGGATTAATTAACCGCCTTGGCCATTGAATGAATTGTTTGGGAGCCTGTCCCACAGTTTGAACTTCATCTGTGGCAATAGGAACCAATGCAAGTGCATCTATAACCTCTACCACCTCCACCCTAACAAAATCTGCAGCTATTTTTTGATGTTGTATAGTAGCGCCCAGGTTGTGTACCTAAATATATCAAAACATACTTTTTAGCATACTTTACTCATTTAATTGAAAATGTATAAAAATTGAAGGTACAGATGCTGCTGTTTAGAACCAGTTTTTCCAGGTTTTTTATTTTAAATAAGAGTACCTTTGCCATGGCTACTAGGTGAAAAGGAGAGTCGACATAAAGGCGAGAAAGCTCATCATCATGATCAGACTCAGACCCATACCTCTCTATGTGGTTCTTGATGTGTGTTAAATCCCAGCTTCAGCAGCTCATCCCGAAGTTTCTGGTCGAACATCTTTGACAAATTTTCAGTCACCTCTTGTGTCACCTCATCTCGCACTTCCTTTTTTATCAGATCAACATCATGCTTGGTTAAAGCCGGGGACGTGTTTCTTTGGCGTCCTGTGTTTGGAAATACTTCACGAATGCCAACACCTGCTCCAACAGCACGTACACGTCCAGGGTGCTCAGGTCGTCCAATAGCTGTCGTTAAGATGTCATCACGACCTAGGGGAACAAATGTTCCTTGATTTTCCTCTTGCTCTAAGGTACTCTGAAAATAAAGAATGCTCAGATGTTAGGAGTTGTTAAAGGCAAATCTTATATTTACATTATTCATGATACTACTAAGCCTCAGATTTACGATTTTTTCTGCAATTTCACGAGCCGTCTTGGACGTATATTGGCCATTTGATCCAATACGACCTCTCTTCCATTTATGATGGCGCTTGATGGGAGAAGGAGGTTTTAAAAGCACAGAAGAATCAGACTTTGAGGCTTCTTGTTGCAGTTCCAATTTTTCTGCCATCATCTTTTCTTCAAGCAACTCGTACCCACCCCATGATAACCTGTGGGGACAATCATTACATGCCTGAATTTCTTGTGCTTTCCTTCGACGCTCCTATATAAAAAAGAACAACGCATAATAGTTTACATGAGAAGCTACATGCATTATTTACCAATTATTAAAACAGTTTAACTTGCCAGAAAAACAGGGTCTTGTCGGCTTAGGACAAACTTTTTCCAGGTTTCAGTTTCAATCCACTTATACTTCACAGTTGGGTCTTGCCCACGTCGAGCGCCAAATATGTATGTTGACGTCAAAAAAGTCTTGAAACCCGTCCACCGGCTACCAGCATATCCAATCCATTTTCTCCTCAGTACTGGATCATTAGGGACCTCAAAGGTGAGCTGCAGTGCATTCAAGTACCAAAAATTGAGATAAGTAAAACTTTACAAGTCATATCATAAATAAACACACACAAACAAAAATTGAGATAAGTAAAATTTTACAAGTCATTCCCTCTCAATCAATTTAAACGAAAAGAAAATTTATTTACCCGAATAGCTTCCCAGATCTGGTTCTTAACTCCCTCCTCAACCGCTTCCCATTCTGAGATTGTTATACAAGCTCTCATCCTTCCCTGGAGGGCCACAAAACTAACAAACAACTTCTTGTTTGGGCCCACTGCTTTCCCCTTGGAATTAAATCGGATAGGTAGTGGGTTGTTAGCTGGAAATTGTCATGAAACAAAAAATAAGTACGCAATAAATTTAATTAAAACATTATAAATAGAGATACAAATTAATAACCTGCACGATTGCGCATCAATGCCTTCAATCTAGTGGGCTCCCTTCCTCTTTTTTTGAAGATCTACTGTTTGATCCATTTGTCCCTTGCTCGTCCATATTATTGTTCAGTCTGTTCGCAAAAAAGAAATTTTAGTTAACATTTAAGTATGTAAAATTGAAATTGTAAATACATGTATAAATATCTATTGCTATAATATACTAACACTATCTGGAATGTTCTCCCACAATCCTTCTATATGATCATCACGAGTTGCTTGCACATTGTCTAATTCATTTTCATCAATCACAACAGATATTGAATTATATAATGGATTCTCAAATGTGACTGGAGCAAGATCATTGTTGTCATCATTGACAAGTAAATGTTTTCCTTGGAGAACCACTGACCATCTAGTGTACAGTACACAATCATTCGGACATGCATGTATCTTCTTATACTCCATACCCAAAGGACAAATTACCTTATTTGCCTTGTAGTTGCGGTTTGGTAATGTATTACCACTAGGAAGCATATCTTTTAACAACACAAGCAATTCGGTGAAGCTCTTATCACTCCACCCATTCTTTGCTTTCAGATTAAACAATTTTAGCACGGCTGCAAGTCGTGTGTATTTGGTGCACCCGGGATACAAATGTTTCTCTGCGTCATCGCATAGTGTTTCATAAATATGTGATAGCTTAAAAGCCTCCTCTCCGACATCACGTATCATGTCCTCCAAATGATCACCCATTTCTGGTTCAGCAACATCCTCCGTATGAGATGATGTAGTGGGCATATTGTACCGCTCACCATGCCATATCCATACTGTATAGCTTTTAAGAAATCCATCACACAGGAGATGCTCTCGTATTAATTCAGTGTCTAGTCGTATCTCATTCAAGCAGTTAACACAAGGACAGTGAAACTTTTCACTACTACTAGGCAGATTTGTTTTTGCGAATTGCAGAAAAGATTCAACCCCGTTTTCATACTCATCACTCGTTCGTCTACAATTGATCCAACTACGATCCATAACTATCTTAATTTCTGTAACATGTGCAAACAAACATTAAGTAAATATTTGTTAAGCAAAACCACATAACCTAATACGTTATAGAATTTATAGCATTATGTTTGTATGCAATGCCTAGAAGATCTATTATCACATTTGGATAGATTTTTTTATCTCAGCTCTTGTATGCTTTTAAACAAGACACACAAGCAGAGAATAAATATAGAAAAAAATTGGTAAGCACTTGATTGATAAAGCAGATGAAGAAGTACAATCTTAGAGGGTATTGAAATTAAGAATTGTTAGTTCAATCATAAAAATGTTTATTTGCTATAAATTTTAGATAGGAAGTAACACAATTATAAAGAAACTTACTCAACCCAATCTAAAATGTATAGCAACTAAACCTCCGGATAAAAAAATAATCATATTAGAAACATGATTGTCTAGCTCGGGGTAGAGAAGTATATATACACAAAACGAGCTCGGGGTAAAAAATAATCATATGTTTTAGATAATAATTTAATTAGGATATTAGAAAGAGGACTGTCTAGTCTTACATAATAAGTTAATTAGGAAAAATAAAAGAAATAATTAAAGAAATTACACATCATATTGTGAAGAAACATTCATTGGAAATTTCATTGGGGAATTTTAACAAAGATATCATATTTATGTCAAATCCAAGGTTTTTAAAGTGTTGTCACGCCAACTTGCGGATAACGCCAAACAAACAGAGCGAAAAAAGAATTAAGAATTATTGGGTTTAAGTAAGACTCGAGAAATTCGCACTATATATACCCCATTTCCTCGCCCTTTCTAACTTTATTTTCTCTTCTCTCATTTTCGGACACTCCAAGGTACTACTCACTTTCTGCCTCTCTTTCATAAGTCTTTTCTTTTCCCTTCTTTTTTCTTCTTTGTTATAGAATAGCAATAGTAGTTGGAAGTATTTCCCTGTAAAATTCATATTTTTTTGTTCTGGATATCTGCTTCTCTCTGCAATGTCTAAATTCCTCAAATTTACGCGCATTCAAGTAGTTCCGTATGGTTTTATTGGCTCTCTGTAACTTAAAACATTGAGCTTTATGTGGTTTCAGAGAGTGTTCTGTTAGCTTGATTGGTTTCCAGATTTATAGTCCAAAAGTTGGTGTCCAGAATCATTCTCATTTCTCTTCTAAGATGGTATATATATATTTATATTTAATATAAACTGAAGAGCCCAACTAAAAAACGTAGTAGTAGTAGTAATAAATAAAGAAGTCAATTCTCCTTAGACCTTAGTCCTTGTGTACGTGGATTAAAGCCCAAAATTTCAGCTCCCAGACATCAAACCCACAAACCCAGAAATCCACAAAACCTCTGTTCATGGGGAAATCGGAAACGGATAAATCCTCTCTCCTTAGAGCTTCTGACCGCGATTCCTATCCAATCAATCAAGAAACACAATCGATCCTTCATCCTTTCAGTTACTTTCTTCAAATCTTTTGTGCTTCATCTTCATTCTTCAATCGTCTTATTTAATCAACCGAGAAGATTGGGTGCTCGGCCAAACAGGTTAGCAAACTCCTCTTTTTAGAATTTGTTTAATTTACTTGTTTTCACCAAAATTTACTATGAAATTACTGCGTATTTCCAATTCTCCGGTTCAGCAATTTAGTATTTTCGTTATTTCAATTCATTGCAACCAGATTTTTCTGTGCTTTTATTTCAATTACTGCGTATGAATTGAAGTGTACAAGTGTTAGACAGTTGAAGAAGCTCGTTGCTTTGTGATATCACCGTTCTTTTCAGCATTATTCCTTCCTCAAGTATCAGGTTGTTTCATTCCTTTTTCATTGTTTGTTTTAGAGTTTAGATTGATTCTAGTTGCTTAATTTTGAAAGATTTAAGTTTTATTCTGATTTTGGTGTGTTGTTATCTTGTTGATAAGCTCATTGTGCCTTCTGCGATGAAAAAATACGAACCAGGCTATGACAAGTTAAAGAAAAAAAGAAAAGTTGATGCATTAATTAAGTCTCAAAAAGGTGCTGTTGATAAGTTTATCAAAAAAAGAGAGAAGATTCCTAATGCGCAAACAAAAAGCTGGATGATTTGGATAGTGAAAATGTGGTAATTGAGAGAAATAATATAGATGTTGATTCTGAAAAAAATAATGATATGCTAACAGAGGCTGAAAATAACAGTAATAGAGATTTTGAGAATGAGGCAAATTCATTAGATGAAGCAAATAATGATACAACAACAAATGCTAACTTCTTTGAAGTGTGTCCCATGGTTGACATATTTGATTAATTTGGCCTTTTTCTCCAATGTTTAAACTAAGGTGACGAGATCATGAAACAAAACTGAAGATTGACCAAATTGTTTTGATGTTCTTAGAGATAAAAGAATGAGATTGTGAATAAACATCCCTTTGAAATCTCATTGGGGCATTTTAACAAACATATCATATTCATGTCAAAGCTAGAATTAACTAAGTAAAAACTTAACATGTTTTATCTAAAATTTGGAGGAAATAAACAACCATTAGACAAAAACGTATACAACAATTGAAGGCTCGTTGAAAAAATCATTTGGCTAGTGTATAATATACTTAAACAGTTTCAGCGGCATCAAAATAGATAGAAACAAAATGAAATAAAATAATTTCGTGATATCATGACATTTATGTAAAAAATTGTTTCAAATTTTCGTTGAGACATTTTTACAAACAGTTAATAGTCATTTGGAAACTAAAACCATAGAAACAAAATTATTCAAGCTTCAGGTGTCAGTGATTAAGTAACAACCTTGTGACTGTCTCCTCCATCTAATTTGTTCATTACGATGTAGAACTAATAATCTATTATACACATGTTTCCTTATGCCACAACACATAAAAAATAAAACACCCATAACCAGAATATTCACAAATGAAATGCGATTACACAAATCCCAGAGAAACATATACATGATTCGATTAGGAATAGCAAAACTAAATAAAATTTAGTATGTCAGAAAATTACCGGTTGGAAAAACAAGTTTCGAGCGAAGGAGATGAAAGGCCCAAAGCAAGGAACGGCGGAGGTGTGATAATGGCGCAGATGTGAAAACGGGGTGGTCTGAAACACCACAGAGCTGCGTCGTCCGGACTCTGGAAGCTTTCTTGCTGCGTGAAACCTTACATTAGTCGACCAGCGGCTCTTCGTCTTATTACCGGACTCTGATGAAGTGTGTTTTAAAAAACCTAAGGCCTGGACGCAGGGGTTAAAAAATTTACACTCCTTTCTATAAGGGTTAGGATTAGAACAGACATGGAAGGTGTGGTTTTTTAATTAAAAAATATACCCCGTGCCGAATCAAACTTTGTAAGATTTATGAATATGACCCCATTCTACTTTCTATATCGGGTAAATTTAAAAACCGTTATTGATATGTTTTCTAATTCATAAATTTGCCCCGTCTAATAAGATGGAACTTTAATTAATTGTGAATTAGACCCCGCGTCAATATACTATAACGGTTCTAAATCAATCCATATTAAATACTAGTACTAGTTATAGAATGCTAATTTTGTACTAGTGACAAACGAAAATGAAAATAGATTAAAAACAAAGTTGTTGAATTTGAACTAATATTTTGTTTCCCTTAAAGTTATTTTCCCTTTTAGCTTAAATCATTGCTTTCACTCTATTTCCTTTGACTGCAGATGACTCATTGACATCTTTTGGTAGTGGATAATGCAGAGTGTGTGAACATAATCAACATATATGTTCATTTATATTGTGTTGGTGTTTACTATTTTAGCCAATTAATTTCAATTTGTGCAGGTTTTTATTGTGGTGGTGATTATGGATGAATTTTAAATTCAAAAGGTGAAGGTTTCTCGTACGAACTTTACTACTACTGTACTATGTACCACTAAAAAAACATTAAGATTTTTACTTAGTGTTGTATAAATAAAAAATCCTTAGGAACATTACTTACTATTATCAATTTTCATTCCTCAACAACTTTATATAGTACTTTACTAATCAAAATGTGCATGTTTCTCTTTAAACGGTTAACATTATTTGAACCTAAAATTTCATTCTCAATATTTTTCTCATTGATTTATTCACCTAATTTGAGTTCAACGGAAAGCATACCATATTCAAAATCAATAATGTTGGGAAAATGTGTTAAAAATTGCATTAAATGGTCATTTTGGGGCAATTATTTGAGTGGGGTCCACTTCCGATTTGGGTCGGGTCAAAGTGGTTTCGGATTGTCCTTGTTAAGGGCTACAATTCGATATATGGTACGCTCAAAACGGATAACGGGTGAATGAGAAATTGATTCTCGAAGTTCGCTCGTTGTAATGGAAAAACTGGGAAAATGATGAGTTTCTAGTGTGTTTTATCCCACACCGAAAAACTCAAGGGATTTTCACCCCCTTTTAAAGGGAAGCCTCTTTTAAGGAGTTAAGATTCCTAAAGGGAAAGGCTCTCTCTTACGCGCAGGGGGGGGTGGCGATCAAATCCCGAAACGGAGAAGAAAAACCGCGACTCGTGTGCGCGGGCGACCTGCGGACACGCATGCCGTCCAAAAATCTATTTCTCAAGAGATACGGTTAATTTTTGTTTTCTTCCCGAACGTTTTTTTCCCAGAAGAGCTCCGGACAGAAGGTCTCGAACAGAAACCCTCCAAGGGGGTTCTGTTGGCTTCGGACAGAAGGCCTCGAACAGAAACCCTCCAAGGGGAGTTCTGTTGGCTACGGACAGAACCCCTCCAAGGGGTGTTCTTTTGGGGTCTTCTGTCACGCATTTCTTCCGTTACAACAATTAATGCTCAACGTTCTTCTCTTTTAATGGTGCTTTGCAACAAACACACGGTTTGACAACGCACAACACTTTCCTCACGTTTTCTTGAGCTAAAAACTCTTCCAGCTTTTCCCAAATTTCCTCTGTGTTCATACTTGGTTCTCGTTCGCTGGAACTCTTGTTTGTGTGCTCAAACACTAGTTCGTAGTCATCGTATCCTGGGAAACGATTGTTGCAACGCTCCTAGCACCGTGGGAGGCAACAAATACGTTTTAAGGAAATCGTGCGTAGCACGAGCTTTGGCTAATTCTGCTTCATCTCCTTTTCTTGTTTTTCTCTAGTCATTTTATTTAATTGATTTATTTAATTAATTTTCTTTATTTTCCGAAACACACCCAACAATCTTAAAACGTATTTGTTGAGCTTGTATCATACGGATACAATCTTAAAACGTATTTGCCTTGATTGTTGTACTGCGGTAAACAATCTAAAAACGTAGTTTGTCACTTTGGTGAACGAACTTAATTTTTGTGTTTTCGGAAAAACGTTAAAGAACGAAAATGACTTCTCAAGAAAACGAGATTGGTGTTGGGCAGAATGTTCTGAACGACAATCACTCTGAAAGCGGAGCACCGGTGAACAATACTTCACAACGCGGTGCATCTGCTTTGGCCAACCAAAGGGTTATCCCTATGGTGACCGTGCCAAGCAACTCTGTGGAGAAACCTGAGAAATTCAACGGGTTAAACTTCAAGAGGTGGCAGCAAAAGATGCTATTTTACCTCACTACTCTCGGTCTTGCTAGATTCTTGACCGAAGATGCGCCGGTAGCAACCGGGGGTGAGGTGGATGCGCAATCTTTCAACGCGGTTGAAGCTTGGAAGCATTCTGACTTCCTTTGCCGAAACTACGTGTTGAACGGGCTGCATGATGCTTTGTACGACGTATATAGCAAACTAGCTAGGGCTAAGGAGCTATGGAATGCTTTGGACCACAAATATAAAAGCGAGGATGCCGGCGCAAAGAAATTTGTCGTTGGTCGATTCCTTGACTTTAACGAAATAGTGGATTCGAAGACGGTCTTGAGTCAAGTTGAGGAGATGCAAATGATCTTCAACGAAATTCGAGATGAAGGAATGACAGTTAGTGAGTCATTCCAAGTGGCGTCAATTATTCATTTATTGCCGCCGGCTTGGAAGGATTTCAAGAACTACCTTAAGCACAAACGAAAGGAAATGAACTTGGAGCAATTGATCCTCCGTCTGCGGATTGAAGAGGATAACCGGAAGAACGATGGGAAACTCCCAATTGTTCATGGCGCCAAGGCCAACGTGGTGGAGCATGCTAAAGGCTCCAAAAATAAAAATAATGGGAAGAACAAGCTCGGTCCCAAGGGAGGCGTTTCCAAGACGAAGTTCAATGGAAAATGCTTCAATTGCAACAAGAATGGACACAAGTCCTCGGATTGCAAGGCACCTCGGAAGAAGAAAGACTCCCAAGTCAATTTGGTGCAAGGTGGGCAAAAGGATGAAGACATCATCCTAGCGGCTGTGGTTACGGAAGTCAACCTCGTTGGATCCAATTCCAAGGAGTGGTTTGTGGACACCGGTGCAACCCGGCACATTTGCTCAAACCGGGAGTTATTCACAACTTTTGAGCCATCAAATGGTGAGAAAGTGTGGATGGGTAACTCGGCTCATTCCGCGGTTGAAGGCGTGGGCAAGGTGGTCCTGAAGATGACTTCGGGCAAAGAGCTGACTCTCAACCAAGTGCTGTTTGTTCCGGAAATACGCAAAAACCTGATTTCCGGTTCGTTGTTGAACAAGCATGGCTTCCGCATGGTTTTTGAGTCGGACAAACTGGTTTTGTCCAAATCGGGAATGTATGTGGGCAAGGGATATACATGTGATGGGCTTTTTAAGCTCAATGTAATGACTATTATTAATAATAATAATAAAATCCCTTCTGCTTACTTGCTTGAGTCTTCTAATGTGTGGCATGGTAGACTAGGACATGTTAATTTTAATTCTATACGTAGATTAATTAACATGGAGCACATTCCTAAATTCACAATTGATGTGAAGCACAAATGTGGAGTTTGTGTAGAGGCAAAACTAGCGAAAACGTCTTTCAAATCGGTTGAAAGAAAAACGGAACCACTTGAATTAATTCATAGTGACGTTTGTGATTTTAAATCAATACAAACACGTGGCGGTAATAAATATTTTATTACCTTTATCGACGATAGCACTCGCTATAGCTACGTTTATTTATTAAAAAATAAACACGAAGCAATCGATAAATTCATTCTTTATAAGAATGAAGTGGAAAACCAACTTAATTGACGGATTAAGACGGTTAGGAGTGATCGAGGTGGTGAGTATGAAGCACCAATTGGTGACTTTTGCGCTGGTGTGGGTATAGTACACGAACGTACCGCACCCTATTCACCTCAATCAAACGGTGTTGCCGAACGAAAGAATCGCACATTGAAAGATATGATGAATGCGATGCTAGTAAGTTCGGGCTTGCCACAAAATATGTGGGGCGAAGCAATCTTGACAAGCAATTACCTTTTAAATAAGGTTCCCCGGAAAAAATATGATAAAACTCCGTACGAGTTGTGGAAAGGCAGACGGCCTTCCTATCAATATTTAAAAGTGTGGGGGTGTCTTGCTAAGGTGCTTGTACCAACACCTAAGAAAATAAAAATAGGTCCAAAAACGGTGGACTATATTTTTATTGGATATGCACAAAATAGTAGTGCTTATCGGTTTTTAGTGTACGATTCGAATAATCCGGATGTACATAAAAACACAATAATTGAATCAAGGAATGCTTCATTCTTTGAAGATGTATTTCCATGCAAGTCCAACGAAGGGCCTAGCACGTCAAAACGAACATTTGACGTAGCTATGGAAAATACTAGCGAGGGATCCGGAGAAGAACCCGAACCCAGACGTAGCAAACGTGCTAGAGTCGAAAAATCCTTCGGACCGGATTTTCTCACCTACCTGGTAGAATTTGAATCGGATATTCTAACATGTATGGTAGAAAATGAACCGGATTTTCTAACATGTTTGGTAGAAAATGAGCCACGGACTTATACGGAAGCCGTGACGTCTACTGAAGGTCCTATGTGGAAAGAAGCCATCAAAAGTGAGGTGGACTCTATCCTAAAAAATCACACGTGGGAATTGGTTGATCTCCCTCCGGGATGTAAACCTTTGGGATCCAAGTGGATTTTTAAACGTAAAATGAAACCAGACGGTTCCATTGATAAGTATAAGGCCAGACTTGTAATCAAGGGATACAAGCAACGCGAGGGCCATGATTACTTTGACACGTATTCTCCCGTGACGAGAATAAATTCCATTAGGATGATACTAGCGATTGCCACTTTGCGGAATTTGGAAGTTCATCAAATGGACGTAAAAATCGCTTTTCTAAATGGCGATATAGACGAAGAAATCTATATGGAACAACCCGAGGGTTTTCGTGTTCCAAGCCAAGAAAAGAAGGTTTGTAAATTAATTAAATCATTGTATGGATTGAAACAAGCCCCTAAACAGTGGCACGAAAAGTTCGATCATGCAATGTTAATTAATGGGTTTAAAATAAACGAAAGTGACAAATGCGTCTATGTGAAAAGCACGGTAGACGGCTATGTCATTTTATGTTTATACGTGGATGATATACTCATCGTGGGTAGCAATAATCTAATGATTAATTCTACCAAAAGCATGTTAAATTCTAAATTTGACATGAAGGATATGGGGCTGGCCGATTTAATCCTTGGGATTAAAATAATTAGAGGACCTGACGGTCTAACGCTAAGCCAATCCCATTACGTTGATAAAATCCTTACTAAATTTAATAAGGATGATTATCAAGAGGCAAGGACGCCATTAGATAAAAACACTCATCTTACCAAAAATCGTGGAGAGTGTATTTCTCAAGTAGAATACGCTAGGATTATTGGAAGTTTGATGCATCTAATGAGTTGTACCAGGCCTGATATTGCCTTTGTGGTTAGTAAGCTAAGTAGATATACTAGCAACCCCGGTGCTGAACACTGGAAGGCAATAATACGGGTTTTGAGGTATTTACGTAAAACCCAAAACCTTGGACTGCACTATGGAAGATATCCAGCTGTACTTGAAGGGTATAGCGACGCTAGTTGGATATCCGACATAAAGGACTCTAAGTCCACAAGTGGATATGTTTTCACTTTGGGAGGTGCAGCCGTGTCATGGAAATCCTCGAAACAAACGTTAATAGCTAGATCCACGATGGAATCTGAGCTAATAGCCTTGGATAAGTGCACTGAAGAGGCTGAATGGCTACGCCATTTTCTCGAGGATATTCCAAGTTGGGAGAAGCCTGTCCCTCCAATATGCATACATTGCGATTGTCAAGCGGCAATTGGAAGGGCACAGAGCAATCTCTACAATGGTAAGTCTAGACACGTTCGTCGTAGACATAACACCATTAAACAACTCCTCACAACGGGTGTTATCACTGTTGACTACGTGAAGTCAAAGGATAACATAGCAGATCCGCTAACCAAGGCATTGGATAGAGAATTGTTGGAGAAGTTGTCACGAGGAATGGGACTAAAGCCCGTGAATTTAAAAGTTCTATAGTGGATACCCAACCTAGTTGGTCCTAGGTTCAAAAGGGACAACTAAATTATAGAGCGAAGGATGGTCACTGTGGGGGTCCCGGACTCCTACCCACTCCTCGTTAAAACAGTGACTCCCGCACGAGGTTAGCAAAAACGTTTGCTTTAATGATTCTAAAATGTTGATCTACTCGATAACATTGGAAGAGTATGCGGGATACTCGTGAAAGAATCACCTATGTGAGAGAGAAGAGGGCCGCTTCAAAGGAGAACTGTAAAGGCTCAGTTCTTTAGAAACTCTTGCAGAACCAGGACGGTGACCCATGGCCAAAACGGGCACACCCATGAGAACGGAACAAAGTTGGAAGGTTCTTGTGTAAAGATAAGTCAATGTTTACACGACGGCAGTATAGTTCAAGGACATCGAGTCTACTAGACAGCCAGTAAATAAACGTGTCTTTACAACGGAAGGTTCAAAGGATAAAACCTACCTCTCCGTATGCAAGGATCATCCGGTGAACACAACGTGTCCTCCTATCTTCGTGTCTTTTTAAGTCTCGAAAATCAATTTTCATTCATGTGGGGGCTTGTTGGAAAAATGTGTTAAAAATTGCATTAAATGGTCATTTTGGGGCAATTATTTGAGTGGGGTCCACTTCCGATTTGGGTCGGGTCAAAGTGGTTTCGGATTGTCCTTGTTAAGGGCTACAATTCGATATATGGTACGCTCAAAACGGATAACGGGTGAATGAGAAATTGATTCTCGAAGTTCGCTCGTTGTAATGGAAAAACTGGGAAAATGATGAGTTTCTAGTGTGTTTTATCCCACACCGAAAAACTCAAAGGATTTTCACCCCCTTTTAAAGGGAAGCCTCTTTTAAGGAGTTAAGATTCCTAAAGGGAAAGGCTCTCTCTTACGCGCAGGGGGGGGGGGGTGGCGATCAAATCCCGAAACGGAGAAGAAAAACCGCGACTCGTGTGCGCGGGCGACCTGCGGACACGCATGCCGTCCAAAAATCTATTTCTCAAATCTATTTCTTCCCGAACGTTTTTTTCCCAGAAGAGCTCCGGACAGAAGGCCTCGAACAGAAACCCTCCAAGGGAGTTCTGTTGGCTTCGGACAGAAGGCCTCGAACAGAAACCCTCCAAGGGGGTTCTGTTGGCTTCGGACAGAAGGCCTCGAACAGAAACCCTCCAAGGGGAGTTCTGTTGGCTACGGACAGAACCCCTCCAAGGGGTGTTCTGTTGGGGTCTTCTGTCACGCATTTCTTCCGTTACAACAATTAATGCTCAACGTTCTTCTCTTTTAATGCAGCGTTAAATGGACAGTTTATGGACGATTCAATGCCCAACGGACTGGTCATTGATGTCCAACGTTCAGGTCCATTAACACCCCATTTAACACACAACAAATCCTCCTATAAATAGCTGGCAGGTGCTTTGCAACAAACACACGGTTTGACAACGCACAACACTTTCCTCACGTTTTCTTGAGCTAAAAACTCTTCCAGCTTTTCCCAAATTTCCTCTGTGTTCATACTTGGTTCTCGTTCGCTGGAACTCTTGTTTGTGTGCTCAAACACTAGTTCGTAGTCATCGTATCCTGGGAAACGATTGTTGCAACGCTCCTAGCACCGTGGGAGGCAACAAATACGTTTTAAGGAAATCGTGCGTAGCACGAGCTTTGGCTAATTCTGCTTCATCTCCTTTTCTTGTTTTTCTCTAGTCATTTTATTTAATTGATTTATTTAATTAATTTTCTTTATTTTCCGAAACACACCCAACAAATAATACAGTTAGATGGAACTAAAAGCATACTTCACTCAATTTTATACTATTATAGCTTACCGCATAGAGATTATCACAATAAAATTTTATCAAGGTTTAATTTCAGGTATGAGAGATGGTGTACTATTTTGTGCCTTATGTTTCAAGAAATTTTGAGGTAAAACCTTGCAGCACAGAAGTTTCACTCCCTTGCAGGGGAATAGGCGGGTACAATTGGCCTCACTTTATCCTATCATGTTGGTATGGTATTGTTCACTATTGGTTATGATTGACTGTATCTTCTTTTCTTCTGAAAATTCTGAATTTTTAGTTTATGGAATCAAAATGAGTGTATATGCACTTTTTGGATGGTTTAGATTTCATTTCTTTTTGTATATATTGTGTAGTTGATGTTGATCTATTGGATTCTCTTGCTGCACATGAACTTGAGATCAGTTTTTAACTTGAAGAGCCTTTTAGCTTATACGTAGTAATTTTATTTAGTTTTTATTTTCACTCGAACATTTTCTCGTAAGAGTTGGGAGTTATGAATGTGGTTATTATGTGATGTTGCATATGTTGAATATCGTTTCGGCGGTAATTCTTGAAATGTGGGATGAGGTACATTATTATTTATTTACATTCAATAAGTTTGCTCCATATAATGTTTTTTAATAACCTTCTTATTTAATTTGTAGCGATTTGCCAATCCGGAACCATTCTCATCAGAAGAGATTGATGAAGTACAAACTCGTCGGGCATCATATTTCTTAGAATTGACGCAATCCATCAACGACACATGATGAACATGTTTGTTTAAGTTTTTGAGTGATGATGAGACTTGTAACTTTATACAATGTGTTACTACTCTAGACTTTTGCAAGGATTGTTTTATTTTAGCTTATTAGTATGTACTAAGTTGTTACTTGAACTTGTTTAACATTTGTGGAAGAATTGAAAAATAGCTTGTGTTATTGTTTTAGATGGATCAAGTGAACATGTGAAAAATTGTGCTATATAGTTGATGATACTGTTAATGATGTGATTATAGTATAAACGGGGGTCATATAGCAAATTTTTTTCCTTAAAAATACCGAAAAATTGAAGTTTTTCACATCAATTGTAAAATAACCGATGTGATTGCTTTTCTACATGGGTTATAACCGATGTGAAACACATATGTTCCGAAAAAATGAAGCCTTTCACATCGGTTGATAAAATGACTGATGTGAAATCTTTTCTACATGGGTTATAACCGATGTGAAAACTCTATGCTCCGGAAAAAATCGAAGCTTTTCTACATCATTTGTAAAATAATCGATGTGATTGCTTTTCTAAATGGGTTATAACCGATGTGAAATATCATTTAAAACGTCGTTTTGGACTATCTTCTAGATCGGGCACTGAACGACCGATGTAGAAAGAATTTCCACATCGGTTCATTGACTGATGTGAAAAGTCAATACTTTTCACATGGACTGGAACCACATCGGCTGTTTGACCGATGTGAAAAGCTTTTTTTGACCGATGTGAAAAACCTTTTTTGTACTAGTGACCCATCCCAAGACTACTCTCGTGCAAGCACGCTTAACTTTGGAGTTCTTAGTTGATGAGTTCCCTTAAAAGGAGATGCATATTGTTAGTATGAGTAGTACTATTAATCCCTTTAAATTGATCCAAATTGTTACAATCACCCCCACTTAGGATCGCAACGTCCTCGTTGCGTCCATAAGCCAATTCAATCTCAATCATATCCCAGTATCTTCCCCTGCTAAGTGCCCGCCCGATATCCAACAGATCAGCACATTGTCGCAAGTTTGCTCTGATACCACCTGTAACACCCCGCCCCGTAGGGCCCGATGTAGTTACTCCGACACACCCTCCGGGCCTCTAGTACTGCCCTCACAATCTGCCACTATCTTTTTTCGCACACTTTGTCCTCACTTGTGCGCGCCCTGAGAAACTTCCTAGGGGGTCACCCATCCCAAGACTACCCCCGTGCAAGCACGCTTAACTTTAGAGTTCTTAGCTGATGAGCTCCGTTAAAAGGAGATGCACCTTGTTGGTATGAGTAGTACTATTAATCCATTTAAATTAAATTTCAAGTATTACAATCACCCCCACTTAGGAACGCAACGTCCTCGGTGCGCCCATAAGCCAATTCAGTCTCAATCATATCCCAGAATCTTCCCTTGCTAAGTGCCCGCCCGATATCCAACGGATGAGTAAACTGTCACAGGGTTGCTCTGATACCACCTGTAACACCCCGCCCCGTAGAGCCCGAGGTAGTTACTTACACACACCCTCCGGACCTCTAGTAATGTCCTCGGTGCGCCCATAAGCCAATCCAGTCTCAATCATATCCCAAAATCTTCCCCTGCTAAGTGTCCGCCTGATTTCCCAGAACCTGGCTCTCATACCACCTATAACACCCCACCCCGTAAGGCCCGAGGTAGTTACTCCAACACACCCTCCAAACCTCTAGTACTGCCCTCACAAACCGCCACTAGCCTTTTCCGCGCACTTTGTTCTCACTCATGCGTGCCCTGAGAAACTTCCCAGGGGGGTCACCCATCTCAAGACTACTCCCGTGCAAGCACGCTTAACTTTGGAGTTCTTAACTGATGAGCTCCCTTAAAAGGATATGCACTCTGTTGGTATGAGTAGTACTATTAATCCCTTTAAATTAATCTCAATTGTTACAATCATATGGATTATACATCATATGAGGACACCCTAAGATTGTTCTAAATGTTTACAAGTGTAGAATGAGTGGTTGGAAGGTAGTTCTAAGTCCAAGAACGGATTTAGAAGCCAAAATGACCGGTTCACCGGAAAATAACCTTTTAGAGGTTATTTGTGTTGATATGGGTTTTGTGATGATAAAACCTTGTTGGGAGCTTGTATAAGGAGATCCTAGAACTTTCACGGAGTTGAAAGAGTCATCGAAGTTATCTCCAGAGTTCGTCAAAGTCCACCGGAGTTTCGCCGGAGTTCAATCAAGAGTTACGTAAGCTCATAAGGTAAAGAAGATATGCTTATTTTAAAATGGCATATCAATGCAAATTTCAAAATTATCATATTATGTTAGATTCGCATATTTAAATGGACAAAGAGTCAAATAAGGTCTTCTACTATTACGGAATTGACACATAAGGTCATGTACTCAATAAAGTGTCATATAAATACGTCTACTTATAAAACGCAATCAGATAAGTCCTAACGACCTGTTGACAACCTCCTAATCCCGATTTTAGCTTACGTATCGTTATTTTTATCTTGTATTTAAGTCAATCTTGGCTAAATATTCCACACTAATCTTATAAAATATTTTGAAAAGATAGTCAGACTTACGCTAAAACCGGGATTACGAGGTTGTCAAAAGGCCATTACGACTCATTGATTGTTTTTATAAGTAAATTATCTAGATAACACTTTATTGAATATATGACCTTATGTGACGCTTTCATAGTAGTAGAAGACCTTATTTTATCATTTTTCTATTTAAATTCATATGAGTTAATAATTAATAACATATATAATTTAAGAAATTTTGATAAATTAAATCATACTTCGTAAAAAAGAAAGTGAATTAGAAAATATGAAACACAAATTATGATACTTAATATAAGACATTAAGACTCTTACGAGTAATATAAAATTTAATAGATTTGATGTTCACTAAAAATGCATTTGTACTAAATGTCACCATATTTACTTAGAATTACGAAAATGTTACAAAAATGCACATGTACACGTAGCATATAATTGCGAAACCAGACACGGCTAACCATCTTAATTCTTCTTATCGAACACGAACTTGAGGAAATGTCGAGCGGCGAAGAACCGATTGAGGAATCTAATGGAGATTCATTGGTGAATGTGACACTAAAGCTCAAAGATCGATCAAAGGTGACAACCGTTTCATCAGTCATACGGATATCTGGATGCAATTTCGCTTGCTTTATACATTTGTATATTTAATTATAATTTTAATATTGTCTTTGATTTTGGAATTTTATGTGTTATGTTTGGTTTGTGCAGAAAATGGTGAAGACGAAGGAGAAGACGAAGCAGATCTTGTCGGAGCATGCAGATAAGATTGCCAAACGGGCTGAAGAGCATGAGACCTTCATCACCAAGGTATGAAAACCCGCCCGTTATTCACACACGCGCCTCTGTATTACGCATTTGCTCTATTCGGGTGGTGTTTGGATCTTAGTATGTGCTTGACAAGGTCCGAACGAACAACGGAGTATTGGTAGGATAGTTTGGTTGAATTTGTTGTATCTGGTAGAGAATGATTCTTCAAAGATAACCCACATCTTTGTATCTGTTTTATTTTGCAAAGAAATAAATAGGAATGGTTATACTGAATAAACTTAGCTTTAAGCTCTCTGATGACTCATGAGAATAGCTGTGGTTATTCCCAAATCCAAATACGTACTATATGTTGATGGACTGACTCTACCCATTGTGGTGAACAGGTTACTCATCTACTTGGTGTTCTTGGGTTTGGGGCATTTTGCTTTATTTTGGGTGCAAGTAAGTGTAATTCCTAGTATTTCAGTTACTTAAGTGCTTGTTGGTCCTTTTAAAAAAAGTTCTTGTTGGTATATTCCTTGTATTAATACTCGAGATAATTCATTGATTCGCTTTTCAGGGCCACAAGACATTCCTTACGTATATTGTGTGTTCTATGTCACCTTTGTTCCACTCCGGTGGATTTACTACCGTTATAAGAAATGGCATTATTATCTTTTGGTAAGCACCTATTCACCTGACTTTCTGGTCCTCCTCTTAGGTAGATGAAGAGCCCATTTGGTATGGATGAATTTGGCTTAAATTGGTGAAGTTTAAATTGTGGATGGTATTCATAAAGTTTCTTGGTAATGAAAAAACACAGTCCCTCGGTCCCAATGTATTTTGCCAACTTTTCCTTTTTGGTTGTGACAAAAACTTTTACACTTCTCACTGAAGTAACTAATGTGTGATTCTGCTCGTTTCTGTATCGTTTGCACAAATCTCAACTACACATTTTTTTTTTATTTCTTACCTAATTCAAAGTTGACTGTCTAATGAGACGGAGTCACGGAGATAATATTACCTTCGTCCCATTGGTCATTGTCAAGTTAGAATTAGGTGAAATACAAGATAATTAAAAGTTGTGTGGTTGGGGTTTGTGTAGAGGACATAGAAAAGAATAGAGCTACTAATTAATGACTTTAAAATGAAAATGGTAAAGTTTTTTGAACAAACAAAACAGGAAAATTGACATAGTCCAATGGGATGGAGGAGTATAAATTATTCTAGAGAATAATTTAATTAGTTTTTTATTTTATTAATAAAATTTTAATTAATTTTATTGATAAAATATAGAAACACAAATGAAAAATGGAAGATCAACTTCAGGAACAGAAGCTATAAGAGTTCCTCTAGCTGTACGTGTTTAAGTGTTTTAATTTTTAACCAATTCAGCACGCACCACAATCAAATGAGATAGTGCTTGGTAAAAGTGTTGGCTACCAAGCCGTAAAAGTGACTGCCAAATTGCTTCTAAGCTATACTTAATCTTATCTCAGTATTTAGGGTCAGCATTTTGGTTTGGTTTCACCCAATCAAACTTTCAAACCAAACCAAACTAATCTTATCCAACACCAAACCATTCACAATACAGTTGAAGTTCTGATTTTTTCCAAAACGTATTTTTCTTAGTATGTGTAACCTGTTCGCTAATTTCTGTCTTCCAACTCATAATAATTGCATACGAAGTCTTTAACTGCTATTGGAGTTGAGGTGTTGAATGAAGGTGACATGTTTCTTTCTTGTTGTGCAGGATTTTTGTTACTACGCTAATACAATATTCATAATCACAATTCTCTTTTATCCTCAGAATGAAAAGCTTTTCATGGTTTGTTTCTCATTTGCAGAGGTCCGTTTCTTTTAACCAAGTCCACCTGATTGCCAACTTGATAATGTCTCTGCACTAATTCATTTGGTTTCCATTGTAGGGCCCGTTGGCATGGGCATTGATTGTTTGGCGATGTAGCCTTGTTTTTAGCTCTGCTGATAAAATCGTTAGTGTCTTCATACATCTCTTACCTGGTAAGATATATCCATTTCTTAATGCTGTTCTAGTGTTGTTACTTCTGTAGATGTAAGTTATTTACTTGACACTGTTGCCTGATGTTAAGTAATTGATACGTTGAGCCTATATCGCCCCAAAACATGCTCAGAAGGTTAGGTGTATTTTACATTAAACAGTTGGCATGCAATATTTCCATCATTTGCAATGGAGCCAAAGATTCATTATTTTTTGGCTTGAGATTATGATGGAATAAATCAAAATGGTTCACTAAACTGTATGCGCTTCTTTGTAATGAAGCAGCAGTCAGTCCATGCAATTTTGGACGCGATTTTCACTATGGGTCATCCGGAAACAGTCTCTCTGTGCTTTAGTATAGGGGTAAGACTGCGTACAGCCGACTCCCCCTTACCCCACCGTAGGTGGGAGCCTTTGCGGCACTGGGGTAAATGAAAATGAAAATGATGAGTTGGCATGCAATACCCAACACCCCCCCTACCCAAACTCAGGTGGACATTGGGCCAAAATGTGGGGGTATCCCACAAACCACCAACCAACCTTAAGACCAAACTCTATGGTCATGATAAATTGGGTCAAAAAGGATACTCAATCTAGTTTACAGTGATGTACTCTGACCCTTTAAGCAACTGGAATGATATATCTGCATCTCTGTTTGAGCTCCTTTCATGTATTAAATAGGTTTTGAATTACATAAAATGTTCCTCGCACAGTATTTTGGAAAAATGCACCCTTATGTTCTACATGATATTCAGGATTGGTTTTCTTCACAATTCGGTGGTGGGATCCTGTTTATTTTGGAGCCATGCATCCAGAAGGAAATGACCGTAGAGCTTCATGGCCTTACGCAGAAAGCAAATCCTACCTCTGGACATGGCTGTTTTTTGTCCCCTTGATAACATACACTCTCTGGCAGATTCTCTATTTTCTCATTGTAGATGTGTTACGCCGCCAAAGATTTTTAAAAGATCCTGAGGTCATGACTTCTTACAGGTTGGATCTCGCTCTTTGTCTGTTGTAATTTCTATTGTTTCTTGTAGTAAAAATGATATTGTGGCTAAAAATGCTGATTTTGATAGTTGTACGAATAAACTGAATTATCTTCAAATATTATTTAAAAGTATTTGCTTTTATAGAGTAAAGGAGGTAGTATTAGGAAAAAATGAATGTAGAAATGTCATTTTCTTTTTATCAGTCTACAACTCCTACATCCTTGCTTCATTTGGGAATAATTTTGTGACGAATTTTTGTTGGGGTTAATAAATATTGTGCAATAGGGAGCTATCAAAAAAAGCCCAGAAAGCAAACAACATGTGGTGGCGTCTGAGTGGGTTGCTTGGGGACGAGAACCGCCTGTTGATGTACATTCTTCTGCAAGCACTGTTTACTATGGCAACCACGGCACTGACTGTACCCATATTTTTGTCATACGAGTTGCATGTCACCTTCCAAATCCTCAAGATCTCTGCATCTACATGGAACGGAGGGAACTTTTTGGTAGAAGTGATGCCCAGACAGGCAATTCTCAAGCAGCAGCAGCAGAAGCAGAAATCGGAGATCACTACTTCTGGCCAGTAGCAAGTAGTTGTTCTAGTGATTAATGTCCTGTCTATCCTCTGAAACTAACAGCAGCCTCTTTGCCCTGCTCAAGGGCCCTTCCTGCTGCTGGCTTTCCCTTTCTCCTCCCTCCAACCCCCAACAGCAATGGGAAAGAAAAACTGTGAAAGACCATATGCCTAGATTCTTCGCTGGAAACATCTAGGGGGAAAACAGTTTCAAGCAGCTGGGCTAACACAACAAAAATTAACATTTATGCTGTTGTCTTGTATTGCCAATTCTTGTTAATTAGAATTCTCGCGAGTTAAAAGTACAACTAGAAAGTTACACGGAGTAAGAGCATTTTAGAAAATTGAAGTACACACGAAGTGTGTTTATCTATATTTCTTACATCCACAGCTTTTACAAATTGAAAAAACCTTTTTGGAATATGGAATTTACATAAATATCCAATTTTATGGTAAATTTTAGGAAAGATTGAAAATAATAATCTCAACTATTGCCGGTCCGCTAACAATAATCCCAACTATTGATTATTTTTGTATAATCCCAACTATATGTAGGGATGGACTAAACCGAGCCGGGCCGGACCGGGCTGGCACAGTAGCGGCCCGGGCCGGAACCAGGTTGGGCTGGAACCGGGCCGGAACCGGCCTGACCCGCTACTGTGCGGGCCCGGACCGGACCGGGACCGGTTGGCCTGTTCCGGGCTTTTAGCCCATTTGGGCGGGTCGGGCGGGTCGGGCTCAGGCTTTGGTTTGGGTGAACCGGCCCGGGCTGTTCGGGTCGGGCCCGGGTCATTTATTTTTTTGTTCAATTTTTTTTCTTTTTCTAGGGTAGGGCTGGGTGTTTTGGGGAGGTTTGGGGGTGAGGGGGGGGGGGGGTCGGGGGATAACAAGAAAACAAAAAAAATAGACATTGAATCGGGCCCGGCTAGGCCCGGACCCGATATCAACTCGGGCCGGTTCCAGGCCCAAGGATTTGCAAAAAAAAACCGCCCGGGCCCGGCTCGGGTCCATCACTAACTATATGGATCGTTCGCCAATAATGGTCCATGACCGCATATTATCTGCTCTAACAAGTGAATTTTTAATAGAAATTAAGCGTAAAAATTAAAATTTGGGATTATTTATAGGGATTACCTACTATATCTCTTTAGAAACTATAGAAATTTATTTATAGTCGATCACGTCAGACTATTATTGGCGGAAGGTCCCTAAAGTTGGGATTATTTTAAAATAATCGATAGTTGAGATTATTATGAGCGAACCGCCGATAGTTGGGATTATTATGACCGGAACGCCAATAATATGGATTATTGTCGTTATTGCGTACAACTAGGAGTGGACTCGGGCCGGGCCAACCGGTCCGGCCCGGTGAACCGGTTGGTGCCCGGTTCGGGCCACCCGGCCCGGTGAGGTAGGTGGGCCGGGGCCGGGCCTCCTAAAACATGAACCGGCCCGGTCGGTTCGGGCCTGATCCGGGCCAAATTGTTTTTTTTTCTTTCTTTTTTGATTTTTTTTTAAGTTTTTGGGTTGGGCTGGGTATGATGGGCCATTTGAGGTGGTTTGGGGTGAGGGGGGAGGGTTGGGGTTAATTAGGAAAATCCAAAAAAAATATATAAGAACCGAGGCCCGGCCGGGCCTGAACCGGAACCGGTCCACCCCTACGTACAACACAAAAATTACTTTTGTCACATGTGCCGTTCTTTTTTTTTCTTTGCTTTTTGCATTCTACACTGCGTGTTGTAGCAGACCCAAACGAATAGTTAACGCAATAAAAGTGTAACATATTAATGTGTGTATCACCGAGGTTGTGTACTTTTTTTCCCTATTAAGTCTTGTCTGGCTTAAAATGTCTGTCTGAATTAAGTGATATTTATATATGAAACTATTTATTTTGTAAGCTGAATAAATAGTTCGAATCGAGTAAAATAATCAATTTAGTATTATTCTTAGATTATAATGTCAATGAATAACTTCATTTATGAATATAAATCTATTCCACATACCACAATTAATTTGAATAAAATGACAGAAAAAACATCTTAACAGACCTCTTAATGACAAGGATTGTTATTCTCAGGCTTAATGGTTTAGGGGTTGTTTACTTTTTTTTCATCAAGTCCTGAATGGATTTAGATGTTTGTTTGGATTAAGATGTCTATCTGGATTAAGTGACACAGAGATAACAAGGTGTTTACTATAGATGCTCAATGAGATGTCTAAATTATGCTAAATGACCGGATAACCCTTCTGTCTGGAACAAATGCTGAATGTACATTTCTTGTTTACTTTTTTCTATATAAAGTCACATTATATACTCAACTTTCGGTTCACTATTTATTTTCTCAACCAAAATAACAAGTTCATGAAGATAATTCATATGCCTAAAAATCGTTGTGCTATGAATTACTTAAAGTAAAATAAAGATAAAAGATTCATGATAATATTTTAAGCTATTTCATCCCACAAATTTGTCATATACTGTAAATTTTGTGTGTCCCATTATGATCCATCTACTTCTTCTTCCATTCATATGCCTTCCTTTTGTGCTTCATGGTTTAATAAGTCATCTTCTTTGTTACTTTTTCTAATGAAATTATGAATTGCAAAACAAGCACTAACATTTTCTAATAAGTCATCCGTTTTAATAGAAATTTCATGAATACAAGTCTCTTTTCACCACATTTATGTTTTTCTAACTTTTTTTACATGAAAATGAAATTCATAGCGTCAATGTAATTAAGATAACAATGAACAAATGTGTGGAAATAAAACAAAAATTCTTTTATACATTGTTGATACCACAGATTCTTATTTGTGTTATCTAAGGTAGAATGGCCAATTGGCCATAACTAGCTTCCCAAAAAGCAGAATACTCAGGTCTGGGATCTCTAAATCTTGCAGCAAGACCTTCCTGGTTCCATCCATCTCCAACTGTAATGTAAACTGGAGTCGATTTGTCAGGTAGAGGGTAAGCAACATCAGTTGCATATACTTTCACCACTCTGCATGTAGTGCTCCAGAGTGGAAAGAAAATTGAATGTTTGGCCTAGATCACCTATAATATCAAATTTGTAAGAATTACCACTTCCAACTTCAAAGTAGTACTTTCTGTCATGCTCGAGGCTAACAAAAAGGCAATGATGTATAGTCACACTTCCAAGTATAAAATCACACATTGTAGCAACTAAATCCTACGAATTCTGGACAAAAAATCAACAAATAAAAAGTCTCATATTGTAGAAATTTAAAATTTCAAAATAGTAATTAATATGCAAGCAACAAAAAAATCAGCAAGAAAGTAATTAATACCATCTGCAATTTTATAAGACAACAGTATTGTGAGCTCGTAGACTGATAAAAGCAAGAAAGAACGGACTGTCTCATGGGTTTACTACTATGTACTTCAATCAATTACATATATAAATAGTGAAGGTATAATCGTCCTTTTCAGTGGCCCGGACTCAACTGCCTGAGGGCTGGACAGCCACGAAAAAGGGGGAAACGTCTCAGGGAATAAAAATGTCTCAAAGGAATCCTCTTATGGTTTCTTCTCAGCTTAGAGTTTCATGCTCTGATGCATCGAATGAATGAAAAGGCTATGGAGGCATCATCAGTCAAGAAATGCAAGAAAGTGAAGGTATAATCGTCAATTTCACCGCTTTAGTTACATTTTTTTAGCTAAATATATAATATAATCAAATTACCAGCAAATTGGAAACATAGATTGTGCAATAAAAGAATAATTAGATTGAGAATAAGGAAAACTGTGCAATCTTAAAAAGAAAACAAAACCTTGAATAGATATAGAAAAATAGCAAATATTTAGATAAAGAAGGCAGGAGAGCTAATACATAGATGAAGAAGGCAGGGAAGCACGATAGGCCGCTCGCAGCTACAGGCAAAGTCACGAGCTTGGGTATTATCCGGTCTGAAACGAACTTATCCAAGAAAGCTTGAGCCAGATTACTGAAACTTGCACTAACTTCGCTGGCAGCAGCATACCTTTTGATCACATCTACTACTTCAGGCTTCAAGATTTCTTCCCTGTTTAATTCATTGCAAAGGTAATACAATGCGCCAAGACCGCAACATACCGTGTTTCGAACAGGACTCGATAGGCATTGTATGAACAACGGGATCCCACCACTTTGAGTGACAAACGCAGCATTTGCTGGATCTGCAGAGCAATTACAGATTCCCCTAATACCAAATTCAACAAGCATCTCGTTACCCACTACCTGCTCTTTTGTTCCTTCATCAGATGCATTTTGGAACCGAGACACCAGCTCCTGAAGGTATTGCACCCTAGGAGTCTTATATTTTCCGGTACGCTCTTCTTGCCTTTTATCATTTGTGAACATGTATAACCCGTGAATTGTATAGAGAAAAATTCATATAGCTATCCACTTCAAGTTAGAGTAATTCTCTGGCTCCCTTATGTGGCTCGTTTGAAGAAGAAAGAAGGTGCAGCGATGAGCGCGATCAAGCTTCCATAAATATGAGGGCGAACCGGCGAATGGCCCTTAAAAAGTTATACCGCTGGTTTTTATAAATTGGCCTGAAATGATTCAGGTTCATTTCATATTTTTCTTACGGTTTACAATTTTACAACCATACATTTCCACTTTATTTCACTTTCTTAATATGCGTGCCAAGTAAAACTGAGAAGAATTTTCTGGAATGGAGGGAGTAATTGATTTGATGATAGGGAAGAATTTGGTTGGAACTATATGAATGCAAAGACGGATCCATGGAGGCATGGATTACAATTAAGGGGCATAATTTTTTTCTTTAGCCTAAAATCATCGGTGATGTTAGAGAAGCTAAGTATATGGAGACTCAGGGATAAAAGGGAGATAGGTCATACGCAGAAGTGTCTGAAGGGCAAGGAATATTAAAATCCAGCCGAAAGGTTAAGTCAAAAAACGTCTGACCGAATAAGTCAACTTAAAAAATAAGTCCTACGTAAACACACCAATATAACTGACCGATTAAGTCACTAGATCCATTAAGCCCATGGGGCCCTAGTCAGTTTTTTGACGGTATGATTAAGTCATTTTTCCAATTAAGCATGACTTAATAGTTGAAAGTTCCAATTTGGTTGGAACTTTCTCTCCGTTGCAGATCTTCTTCTCAACCTTCCTCGCTTCTCGTTAGAAACAAATTTACTTTAAGAAAACTCGATAACATCAATGGCGGATCTTGTAACAACCATGGACCCTGGTTCTTCTTCTGGCTTCGGGTCCTCCTCTTCGGGCTCTAGATCTGGATCTCGTTCGTCCTGTGAGACCAGCTCTTCCGGTAAGTCTGGGCACTTAACCGTCACCGGAACGCTCACCATTGATATTGCGAACGTCGCTCAGGGAGAGAACGCTCAAGGAGGTTTTGATGCGGCTCACCATTGAATTTTTAGCTATCTTCACTTTTTATCCTTTCATAAATCCATTTAAAGAGAATATAAAATAGTCCTATAAAGCTCCAACTGAGTTACCCAAGGTCATCAGAGCAACAGGAACATTGCCTCTCGGAATTGAAAAGCCTTGGGTAAACATTACTATCACTGCCCCTTTTCAAGAGGAAATAAGGAAACACATATGGAGAAAGCCTAACAAAATCAAAGCGATGGACGAGCTAAAAGCCTGAGGCCTTACCCATCTGAAGGGTAGGGACATTGGCGGCCATCTCCATATGCTGAGCCACCGATCGATGGGAAAGCAGCTTGAGATCCTAAAGCACGGCATAGCAATATGCACACATCCTGTATGGAACATTTTAGACGTATCTAAGGGAGATCACCACAGAATCAGCTTCTCAATCTTTCGACGGCAACGATTTGATGGCACAAAGTTCACGTGTCAGAAGAATGACTTCTTTCTACTCAAAATGGAAGACATCTATCAAATGTCCATGGCCTACGGAAACTTGTCAATCGGGAATAATAAAGTCCTCAAAGAAGGATACAATGCAATAATGCAATTAATGTTGAGGCACGTCACAGTTCACGCCACTCATGAACTGCAGATGGCCCTCGAAAGGCAAATCTCACAAAGCCTTTGCTATACGGACCTGAGCTTGAGAGGTATCCACCTTTCTTCATTTTTGACAAACCGGTCACGATAGTCTACCTTTAAACGTGAAGGAAAGAAGCACCTAATGCGGTTGGATGAGATTGCCAAGTATTATGATGGGACACTGAAGATCAGAAGAGATAAATTACTTCCGCTGAAATCTGATATTGAACGAAGACTTGTCGACGCCTCTGAATCTGAACTAAGAGAATTCAACCGAATAAAGACGGTGTTAGATGCGATCAATGAACGACTCGAAAAGAGAAGAATGTTACGTCACTACGAGCATGCACTAACACTACGAAAGTACTACTACAAGGGGCAAAAATGAATCAGAGCTGACAAAGGGACATCTGATCACAAAGGGAGACTGTTAGAGACATTTTATATTGTGATCAATGTTTATTATTATTAGCCTCTTTTTGTATTTAATATAAAGTAGAATAGCCTTGATTAGCTAAATGTGAAAAAGTGGAATATATGGGCCTCCTTAATTTAAGGGCCCAATCATCGTGACCTACCTGTCGTCCTACCCCTTCCCCAGGATATAAATATGCCTTTAAGGGAATGGAGTAGGTAAGCCCTTCAGAGAAATATTCCCACCTGCGGAGAGAGCAAAATACCCGGAGAAGTTTTACGCTACTTTTTCCTATCTTTGTGTAGATTTCATCTTCATCAATGGAAGGCTTCATCTACCTATTTTGAGCTCATTTCATACATTTCTAGAGTAAAAATAGGGACCCAACAGAATCTGTAGTTGTTTGCTCTCAAAAAATTGCTAGTTGGATTTCGAAGTTCGTAGTCGTCTAGTTCTTCTAAGTGTACCTTTTATACTAGTAGTGATCTTCCCGTTGGAGTGTAGAAGACAATTTCATTAAAAGCATGTCCTGTAGACTTGACCGATCAGTTCCAATATTCCCATCAACTTACTATTTCAGGAGTTTTAATTATTATTCTCCTAGATACTTTGATCAATCATGCGCCTTTAATATCTCAACAGGTGGATAACATTAAATGAGCATTTAATGTGTTGCACAGTACATGATCAAAATTGTGAGGGAGCAATTTCGTAACGCGTCTATTGTACTCAGTTTTGCTGGCGTCTCAGTTGAGGATCCAGTTCTGTCCAACACTTCGAAGTGTTCTCAATACAAAGACTTTGGCAATTTTGTCCAAAGAGAGACAGAACACTTTTGTTCGGGCATTCGACTATTCTAATGGTTACAACAGAAAATTATAAGTACAATTTGTCTACATAAGTACTCTGAATTCTTAATTTATACATCATCATCAAAATCTAAATACAATGTATTCCTTACAACCTTTATCTGTGTGGGCCCCAGAGTCGGATTCTACATCAACAATGGATCATGAGGGATTTTTCTCTTCAGCACCTTTTGCCTTCTTCATCTTGGGCACAAAGATGTACTGGCATGTCAGCCTCTTCCTAGCACCCTGCTGGGAGGCCGATGGTCAACAACTGGCTTAGCCAGAGTCACAGTCTCATCCCCGTGGTTATCCCCACTCAGCCAGTCTGCAGTGGACCCTTCAGTGGCGCCCCTCATCTGCACTCTCCTAGCTGGGACCAGGGAGTTTGGGGTAGAACAAGCCTTAGCAGTGAGCCTTTCCGACATGAATGTCATCTTTTTCACCCTCTGAACAAGGCACAAAATCGAGTAAAAAACCAAACATCAGGTATTTAAGAAAAGGAAATACAAACAAGATCAGACATAGGCGAATTGAGGTGTATTCAAGAACGACCACACCATCCTCACCCACATAGTGCCCATCAAGAAGAGTGCAAAATCGGCAATGAGATTTGCAACATGCTCGTTCCCCTTGGTCACGATCGACATGGTCCACCTCTAGATCAACTCCCCCACTTGTTAGCGAACGACAGTTTACCCTCCAAAAGGGAGACCCATATCCATTCACATTTCCAATTCTTGTGGGAATCAGAATATGACTTAGCAGTGAACATGCAATACTCTGACCTTGTGGAAATTGAGAATAAGCCTTGTGTATCAGAGGCGTTGGACCTCACATCGGACCTCACAAAATGAAAGACATGTAAGAACAAATCCAGAATAGGGATGATCCGCATAGAAAAACACCATGCGATGAACCCAATGATAATCAAATGTGTAGTGGGGGTGAGTTGACGGGGAATGACCCTGTAATGCTCCATGAGTTAAAGAGGAAAACAAATGCCCGTTTCCAGACTAGCAAAGTGGGCCCCAAAATGGGAAGAAATATGGGGTTCCACTATATCCTGCCTCGAAGTAGGACGAGAACAGACGACACTAGGGACAGCTAAGGGCACCGCCTCTTCGAACTCAGAATCCAATATGACAGCTGCAGAGACTCCACGGGCAAGGTTTGAATGACAGTTTACCCTCCAAAGGGGAGATCCACATCCATTTATATTTCCAATTCTTGTGGGAATCAGAATATGACTTAGTAGTGAACATGCAATAGTCTGACCTTGGGGAAATTGAGAAGAAGCCTTGGGTTTCAGAGGCGTTGGATCTCACAGAATGAAAGAAATGTAAGAACAGATCCAGAATAGGGCTGATCCGCAGAGAAAGACACCATGTGATGAACCCAACGATAATCAAGTGTGTAGTGGGGTTGAGTTGATGGGGAATGACCCTGTAATGCTCCATGAGTTAAAGAGGAAAACGAATGTACATTTCCAGACTAGCAATGTGGACCCCGAAATGGGAAGAAACAGGGGGGTCCACTATATCCTGCCTCGAAGTAGGACGAGAACAGACGACACTAGGCCAGCTAAGGGCACCGCCTATTGGGAGAAAAGTCTCCATTTATTCAAAGCAGCGACGTCGTAATGTTTGAATGGGGAAGTGTAACCGGAAGCACTCGAGTACTAAAAAGATGAACTTGAAAGTTGTGTGCAACATGGGTCACGTGTTGGTTCCACACCACAAAATCAATGACGGACGTTAAGTGGCTATGACGTTCCCACTCCGGAAGAAACTCAAAGATTAAGAATTACTTACTCTCTCAAAATTTAAGCATGACTTATTTAAGAGAGCGGGGGGGGGGGGGGGGGTCGTACTAACCATGACCCAATTACGAATTGCGAGAAAAGCCCATCACCTGGGATTAATAAACCAAACCCATTACTCAGGATTAATTAATAAAGACGTCTGGGCCTAATAGGGGGATCGTGACCCGTGAAGGAACACCCACATCTAGACTGACCTATTCAATAGGCCTCGAGCCTGGGCGGGATTCTAGCGAGGTCGCACTCACTCTAGGGCTTATGTGACAGACAATCTACAATGCTTGGTTATTTGACAACGACATGGATTTAACGGAAGAGACGTTGACATAAAGGAGCATTAAATGCAGAGTAAACCTATTATGTTTAAATGCAGAGTAGACCTATTAGATACGTTAGAAGGGACCTCCCATGATT